TGCGGGAAATGTGGAGTAAGCGAATTGGGTCTCTCAGCTTGATTGAGGACGATATTAGGCAAAAACGGGTCGTTACTTTGAACCGAAAATGTAGTATGCACCGCCCTTGTACCTGTTTTATTTAGCAAACTTGGTTTAAATAGGGCAAAAGATGCACCAATACAACTAGTCATCATAGTATCCTCTTTGTCTTTTGCGCATATTTTTGATTTTATTAGAAAAAACACTTGGCGGGGGCTAGAATCTCCGGGAGTTTGACGGGCCAGATTATGCAGCATTGCTTAAAGCAATTGGAAAAGTTGGCGTTTGCAGATTACTTATGACATGAACAGCGGTTGGCCAAAGTAACTTTGTACTTATATTTTAAGAGAATTTCTTTATCAGATTTTTGTTTCTCATTCCGGTTACTATTCATCTTTCATGAGACACAGGACAAGCTTTCAAACTTTTCCCGGCGATAGTTCTTATTTCTTTCTCACTTTTTCTTTCAGTGTTGGTTTTGTTTTTATTTCTTTCTTCTAGTCTAGACGGTGCAATGTTTTTGCTCTCATTTGCTGAAGATCTAACCGGTGACATTGATTTGCAGTGGCTCAGTTAGAATCTTAAACGCCGGTGGCTTTTATTGTATTTTAGATTAAAATGTGTGTTATGTACTGAAGCAACTTTCACTAGCAAAGCAACACATATTATCAGAGGAGCTTGCACTGTGGATACTGTGTTAGCTAGGTGCCATAAATGGGCGCCTAGGCTTCCAGAGCGCGCGAGTAACATGTACGGACTTGTAAAAGTTTTGGCGGGTAAAATTATCTCAAGAAGACTCGATGTCGCCAGCACCTTTGAAGAACATTCAGAAAATCACAATAACGAAAGTTCCAGTAACGGCTAAATACTTTGTTTTCAATGGAAGGAGAGTTTGAGGTCCAAATTGCACGCACCGGGTGCTTGAAAACGAACCAGAAAAAAGTAATTTGTTGTGGGGTAGAAGCGACTAGACAGAAGGAAAACAGTTTCTCCTCCACTACAGCGGGTGCCGCTTTGTCATCGAACAGCATTTAAAGGAGGAAGCAGGAGTCGCCGTCGTCAAGTCCTTTCAGGCCCAGTCAGTCAAGTCGAGTCAAGTTCTTACTTTCAGGCCCAGAAGTTCGATAATACA